TGAATCTATGAATCTATGAATCTAAAGTATCCTGTCTTCCAACAGCGGCCAATGCCCAGTGCTTTAGAGGGAATTAACAGACAGACAATCATCAAGTGATCCATCCCCAGTCGTCCAGTCCCAGCTTTTGGTGAACAGAGGCTCAGGACACAGAGCATGGGGCTGCATCTCTGCCCATCCTGGCTAATAGCCATTGATGGTCCTATCCTCCGTGAAGTGATTGTTAGGATACAGATATTCAAGCCCGTCTGCAAAGGCCTATACTTTAAGAATTTAGGTGTATTCTTATCACTAAGCTAGTTATCGAGGTATAAAAGGAAGAATCAAAATCACTGTCTGCCGGTGTAAGGGCCTTCTCTTATCGTGACAGTCTGAGCCCTGTTCTTAGGCTAAGGCCTTCGGCTAAGCAGTAGAGGCCAGCCATAAACTGGGAAGTGTCTGGTCACATCCTCACATTCCAGACTAGTCCCATGGAAATAAGGTGCTATTGGCTGTTAGGAATCCAATCCTGTCCTGATATTCCTGTCACCTCCAGAGAAAGGGAAGAGCCTAGAAGATGTAAAAGGACACTTAGTTTGATAGCATCCTGCCTGGCAAGAACTCACTTATCAATAGACACAGCTGGAAAACCCTTATGTCTGTATAGATGTAGTTGTGAAATCCTCGCTTCTGTATTGTTTTGTATGTTTATTTGCATGATCTCTGTCTGGTTCTGTGATTGTTTCTGTCTGCTGTATAATTAATTTTGTTGGGTGTAAACTAATTAAGGTGGTGGGATATAATTGGTTAGCTAATCATGTTACAATATGTTAGTATCGGTTAGGTAAATTTTAGTAGAATTATTGGTTAAGGTATAGCTGTGAATATTACTATATAAATTAGGGGCAAACAGGAAGTAAGTGGGGATTCGAAAATAAGGAAAAAGGAACATGGATTTAAGCTTGCTGGAAGTTGTGCCACAAGTACTCCTGTTCTTTTTGCGGATACAGACTAACACGGCTGCTACTCTGAAACCCAATAAACATTGAATTGTTTGCACCTTCAGACTTCGGGTATTGTTGCTCTCTGTTCATGCGAGAAGGACCAGGGAAGTGGGAGAGTGAAGGAATAAGCTCTCTAACAGTGATCTAGTTCTTTTTTTAACCCTGTTATAGTCTTGGCCTTTACAACATCACCTGGCTAGGAGTTCCACAGGTTAACTGTGCGTTGTGTGAAGAAATACTTCCTTTTCTTTGTTTTAAACCTGCTGCCTATTCATTTCATTTAGTGACCCCTAGTTCTTGTGTTATGAGAAGGAGTAAATAACACTTCCTTATTCACTTTCTCCACACCAGTCATGATTTTATATACCTCTATCATATCCCCCCTTAGTTGTCTCTTTTCCAAGCTGAAAAGTCCCAGTCTTATGAATCCCTCCTCAGATGGAAGCTGTTCCATCCCCCTCAACATTTTTGTGGCCCTTTTCTGAACCTAGCTGGGAGTCAACATCTCAATAGTGAATGAGATGAGAGGTAGGTGAGGATTGGCCGTGAAGGTATGCTAGAGAAAGGGGAGCCAATGGAGGGCTGCAAAGCGATGGGCTGGGGAAATGATTTTGGCAGCAGTATTCTGAATGGACCTGAGTAGGGCAAGCTTGCGTCTGTCAAGACCAGAGAGGAGGATGTTGCAGCAATCAAGGTGCAAGAGGATGAGAGCAGTAGCTGTGGGCATGGATAGGAAAGGCCAAACCTTAGAGATGTAATGCAGAAAAAAACCAGCAAGATTTAGAGATAGTCTGGATGTGAGGGCCTACAGAAAGGTCTGAGCCAAAGATGGCAGCCAGGTTACAGGACTGTGATGGTCATTGGCACAAACAAAGGAAGTTTGATGTCTTCATATCAAGACTGAATGCCTTTCTGGAAGATATTTCTGGATAAATTGCTTCCAAGAGTTTTCAAAGAGCTGGCTGAGGAGCTCGCTAGGCCATGAATGATGATTTTCAATAAGTGCTGGAACACTGGGAAAGTTCCAGAAGACTGCGAGAAAGCTAATGTTGTGCCAATATTTTATAAGGGTAAATAGGATGACTCAGGTAATTACGGTATGGGCGTGTCAACCTGACACTGATCTTAGGAAAGACGATGGACCAGCTGACATGGAACTCAGTTGCTAAAGAATTAAAGGAGGATGGTGTAATTAATGACAATATGGGTTTATGGAAAATAGATTCTGTCAGACTAACGTGAGATCTTTTTGAGGAGATTACAAGTTGAATTGATAAGGCTGATGTAATATGCTTGGACTTCTGTAAGGCATTTGGCTTGGTACCACATAACATTTTGATTAAAAAACTAGAATGATACCAAATTAACATGGCACACATTCCACGGATTAAAACTGGCCAAGTGATAGGTGTCAAAATATAATTGTAAATAGGCAATCATCACTGAGCGGGTGTGTTTCTAGTGGGGTCCCGCAGGGATCAGTTCTTGGCCCTATAATATTTAGCATTTTTATCAATGAACGGGAAGAAAGCATGAAATCATCACTGGTAAAGTCTGCAGATGACACAAAGATTGGGAGAGTGGTAAATAATGAAGAGAAGAGGTCGCTGATACAGAGAGATCTGGATCACTTGATAAGCTGCTAAATGTAAACGTACATCTGGGAACAAAGACTGCAGGCCACACTTACAGGATGGGGGACTCGATCCTGGGAAGCAGGGACTGAAAAAGATTTGGGGGCGGGGGGGGTCATGGTGGATAATCAGCTAAACCTGAGTTTCCAGTGCAAAAGAGCTAATGCGATCCTGGGAAGCATTAACAGTGGGCTCTCGAACAGAGAGGTTATTTTGTCTCTGTGTTTGGCACTGGTGCGACCGCTGCTGGAATCCTGTGTCCAGTGCTGCGTGTCCACAGTTCAAGAAGGAGGTTTATTAATTGGAGACAGTTCAGAGAACAACCCTGAGAATGATTAAAGGACTGGAAAACCTGCCTTGTAATGACAGCGTCAAGGAGCTCAATCTATTTAGCTTAGCAAAGAGGTTACAGAGTGACTCGCTCACCGTCTGTATTTACCAACATGGGGAACAAATACTTGTGTTAAGAAAGGGCTCTTCCATCTAGCAGAGAAATGGCTAACACCATCCAATGGCTGCAGATGGACAAATTCAGAGGCAAATACTGTAAGGTGTAAGTTTGTCAGAGAGGGAGTGTGATGGGTTGGATCACAGAAACCCCCTTGGGAGCTGCCACCTAATATACCAAGACTACCCCTGCTCCTGTTTTCCCTGCCAGCTCAGGACTCCAGCAGCCTGTCTTGCTGAGCCAGACACTCCCGTCTGCTCCAACACAGACCCAGGGTCTGAAT